TATGATGTCGTACGAGTAGCATGCGCTGCGTCGTTGATGCTCACAAGTCTGAAGGGGCCCTGCATCTTCTTGAAGTACAATCATGCTGATTTCCGATTCTTCTTCGCCTTCAGAAGAACTCCTTTTGAGAGCCTTGAAATTTCCTATCGTCGGGCATGTCTGCTTCGTCTGCAACTGAATCATACCTGCGCTCACATCCCAACGTGTTTGAAGAAGGTGTAATAATTGACAACAGAGGGAACGAAATCGATGTTGCTCATCAGGTGTACACTGCAGATTGTCGTCCTTGGCTCTGTCCTTGTCGATGCTCGGCGACTCGATGGTGTCCAAGTAGGCGTTCCGGCTGAGGAATATCGTGTCATTCGATACCCGCGTATATTCTATCCCAAGATGAATGAACGGCATCATTTTACGTGTAATCTTGCCGAACTTCTTCTCCAGAAGAGCACGCGCCCAATCTAGCCAGTCCTTCTTGCCCGTCGGGAACAAATCATCAACATGTACTGTTGTGGCCAACTGTAATTTGTCTGTTTGAGCATGATGCCGTACGAAACAGCTCTCGTCCAATAGTGTCCTTTTGCCGGTCAAGTTGTCCTTTATGTGAAGAGTAAGTTCTGCCTGCCACAATAGGGGTGCAGCAATGAGTCCGGGTACCGGCTTTACACATTCAAGAACAGATAAATGCATCTGGTCATTTGGAGTCGCTGCAAACTCCTTGGAAAGCTTCTTCAGATGACGCCAAACGTTGGCCGGTGGAACAATGTATACTTCACGCTCTTGTCGTACATCCAGTCCTAATTCTTTCGAGCGTTCTGCGAGTTCCCTGAAACGAAGTCCTTGAAGGAAAGCTGCGGAGATGTCCCAGCTCTCCAGCTCGAAGTCGGGCTCGCACTGACAGATGGATAACCATCATACGCTGCGATACTCGTGCTGCCGTCGATGAATGTCTATCCACTGCCCATTTCTGATTGTCCAGAAAACCACGACCGCACAAGCGAGAGCGCATTACCCATTTTTCCTTCCACATCCAACGTCTAACCCACGTAGCGTCGATGCAGTTCTCATTGTTGTATTCAGATTTCAGCTAGGGCTTGAAGCACTCGTGCTTAACGTAGTTCTCGATCTCCTCGACTCCTCGAGGTCCGCCTGCTCGATCTGTGGCCATAAGTTGCCAAACTCTGATTCCTGTATAAGCATTTCTCCTTGGGAAGCATATATATATATATATATCCACCATTTCGTGCTCAAGCAAATCCACATTGAAACATCTCGAAGGTGAAGATGTGTCGTTCGTCTTGATGATGCAGCCCGACTCTGAACCCTGCCACGGTTCTGTTGCTGCATGATGATGAGTACTATCAATGTCTGTGATAACTGCGTCTTTGTAACCAATCCATTTGCTGTCCATGAAAAGAGAGTAGAGTCCTCTTGTCGGTGTCACAATCGATCTCTCCTCCAGGAAGAGCGATATGTTCTCCATCACCTGGTCGAGCCTGCTTCTTCTCATGTCCAAGACCAATGATGCTGTCATCCAGACAGGAGGTATCATATCTCGTCCGTTTGACAATCGAGGGAGCCACTTGCTGTTCTGGAACCTGCTTCTGAACTGTCCGATGGTACTGTAAGGTGTCTTGGCGAGTGCGATCGAGATCTGGCGGCTGAGGAAGTAGTAGGATTGCCTTCTTCCTGCGTTCTTAGAAGACTGCGTTTCAGCTTGTCCAGTAACTGATGTGCCTCAACAGTCTTGCTCAACTCGCGATCAAGTCTCTCTCTCAAGTCTGGTTCTGCTTCTGTCATGTTCCTCGGTTGAACTGCTTGTTGCAGCCTGAGATGGTTTAGCCGATGGTTCAGGAACAGGTTTTGCGGATTGATCAGTATCATCATCATCTGCTTGCGGTACTGGTGTCGGTCTCGTTCTGCGCGGTGGCTTCTGAATATCCTTGATGGCCCTCTTGAGGTTGTCGCACATCTCGTCGGTCAGCCGTTTTCCCACACTCTCTGAAGGTGACTCTGGTGACATACATGATGTCTCCTGTCGCACTAGCTGTCGATCTGGTGACCAAGGAAGTAGAGGTACTTGCGGTACTTGAGCAGGTGGCTGCACTGGCGAATATTTCGCAGATATGGGCGATCTCTCGAAAGTCTGTCTGTCACGTCCGGGCGTCTGCGGGGTTAAAGGTCGAAGGTGTTCAGATGAGATGTTCGTCTCTTCCATCGCAGCTGCCCTCGAGTTTGCCTGAAGTGTGAGATCCATACCTTCTTCTTCTATCGGTGCCAGTGGTCGAAAGATAGTCGGTACTTCATAGGGATCTTCGTCAATGAACGGAATGTCGCTGAGTTTGGTAACTCATATTTCTCCGGCGGTGTGTCCAGGCGCATGTTCTTGGAGAGGAAGATCATGAAGTGATATTTGCCCCGCTCTGCACCCGCAAGCTGCAGGAAGTTGTGTGGCATGGTCGGATCCATTTCCTGACTACAGTAATGTTCGCGTAGATCCGACTCCCATGCGACAGCCGCAGCTTGAGAAAATTCTGCCAGACCTTTAAGATAACGAATACCTCCTCCAAAGATGAAGCCATCCATACTTGATAATCGGAATGCTGTAGTACTGATTTCCATTGCTAAGAGCTATATCGGTGGAGGATCCTGCAGTAGTCCAGAAGGTGTCACTTGCTCGTGGAAGGTGCCCATGCGGTACTGAATGCCCGTTGGTGCGCCTTCCACATACTCAAACAATGTATGCAGCTTCTGTGAAATACCATCTTGCAAGTAAGCCTCACTCGAGCACAGCGATACTCCCAGGGCATAATAACTGAGGCGTCGTGCACGTAGCTGTGTGACTGGGATCATATAAGGCTGGTTCTGATGAATCACAATGGCCGTCGCCTTCTGCTTGTCCAGGCTAATGATCTCTGCCAGGCCACGCCAGCCATCTTGATTCTTGCGAGCAGGGGTCCTCCATATATCGATTGCATCATGAGGTTTGAGAGTGTCAATCCAGGAAACATATTGCGCTTGTTGTCGTGTGTTGTTGGCCTTGGCGATTCTCTCTTCGATAATAACCTGAAGAATGTTGGATTTGGCCATCAACCGAAGACGAAGGTGTTGTTCCGTGGGATCTGCCGTCATATCCGCTGCACTCTGACTGGAGGTGAACGCGCCAGACTCTGGGTCGTACGCATCCTTAGGCATGAAGCCGAAGAGACCCTGAGCAGGTACTGAGCCTCCGTAGTTTGCGAGCAAGTTCGCGACCATGGCAGACTCCTCAACAATGTCCTCGTCAGTGATATCAATCAGACCCTGTTTGATGACATCTCTCTTCGTTTTCGAAGCCGTCCATTTACATGTCTGGATGGCGCGCTCAACCAAGCCTGTGGTTGTGTGACCATCAGCTCCCCCAAAGACTAGTGTGATCGTGCACCTGACTGCGAAGGGCCCCACCATGTCGGTTGTCATGCCGCCTTCCTGGTCCATGACCAGATTCTCCATGGGTCCGAAGTATTTTACCCAATGCCTGATAAGGGTCCTCAAAATCAGAGCTGCAATCCGATAACGCATGCATTCGTCGATCAGCGTCATCCAGGTTTTGTCAAAGAGGAAAAAAGATCCAGTAGCACTCGCTCGTTGAACTTCAATGAGATCATCACCTTGAGCTGCAGGCCGCTTACAAAGATCTCGAATAGGTTCTGGTTGTCCGAGTGCCCGAATCATTCTCTCCATCTCGTAATCAGGTGGATGAAAAGAAAAAAAAAAAAACTTGCAGTGCAGTCCCATGAGAAGCTTGATGCGCTCTTCGTCACTGGTGGCCTGCAACAGCTTCTGAAAAATCTTGCCCAAGTCGAAGGACGGCTTCGCGATCTTGGCGCTATCCTTCTTCTGAGTAGCGGTGGCCTTGTCAGGCCTTGGAATGACTGGCGTAGGAGGAGCGGGAACAGCCTCATGAACCGCACCAGGAACTTCTGCTGGAGCTGCCACCGGTGCGGCTGGAGCAACTTCCGCTGGGGCTGCCATCGGCGCAGCCGGTGCAACTTCTGCTGGAGCTGCTGCCTGCGTTGCTGGTGCTGTTGCTGGAGCCGGCCCACCTTGTGCTGATGGCGATGCCGGCGATGCTGCCGATGCACTGCCTGCTGTTGCTGGAGCTGCTGATGGTGCTGCTGCTGCTGCATCCTGTTCAGGAGGTTCAACAGGTCGGAAACGACAACCATGTGTTCGCGTATGAGGTACTCCTGAAATTGCTCCAATCTGACAGCGTTTGCACGCCCAGTTGATCTGAACCGAAGTGGAATGCATATGCTTTACCATGTCCTTGACCAAGGCCCTGCAAAGATTTGCTGGATAGACCGCTGCAAGAGCTGTCCGTTTCCTGCCTTGATCGTCTGTACCTTGAAGATTTGCACGTTGTCCTGTGCACTTGCAGGGCCTGGACGTGCCCTTCAGCCGAGCTGTGCTCTTGAAGATTGTCCTCTTGCGGATGGGAATATTCAGGTCGGTACTCCAGGCTCCATGTGCACATTGATCCGTGACGTTGTCATGTAGTTCATGGTGGGTCACTTATCCTGTAGAACTCGAAGCTTCGACAATGTCCAGATAGCCGGGCGATGCGGATCTTCCAGTACAAGATATCCACCATTGTGATCAACAGCTGGTGCGTACACGTCAGTAGCCCAGGCGATCAATGGTCTTTCTGCATCACGGCGTTTCTCGAGCTCTGAAGGTTCAGCATTGTTGTTTGACTGAGACCAGGGCCGACAGTAGAACTCTAGCTTTGAAAACAGAGGTTGGAATTCCTCATACAACTCCATCATGAGTTCCTGATGATCGGTCCGACGAAGGCCCCATCCATAACGATAGTCCAATGGAAGAAGAACAATATAATGTTGACGAAAGGTAGCACAAGATACTCCAGACGTGCCTGCAAAGACTTCGAACATCAGGACCTTCTTCGAGAGCACCGGATACATGTGTCGAATAACGTCTCGAACATGTTAGGGTCAAATCACCGGCAGTCTCGAAGTGGAATAGAACTTCTCCGTCATGATCTCGTATTCCTTCGCCATCCGATGACAATCGGTGTGCTCGAAGTTGTTCGGCCACTCGTCCTCAATGTATCGCGTGCTGCCAAAGCTTCTCCATCTGTCGTAGAACTCCTGCGCATCGTGATTGTGGAATGCTCCATAGACCTGCTTGATTGAAATATTGTCTGCCGATGAAGGCGTCCGCGGCGGCGCCGCAGAGGTCGTGGCCAGTCTCTGTAACTCACTCTGATTCTGCGCTTCGGGGTCATACTCTGAACTGGTCGTCATCAACTGCATTCTTGGTCGTTTCGTGCGAGAGAATGTTGCATGCAGTTTCCCAATTCGCATTTCGACCAAGTGCGTCATTTCCTCTGCAATCGCTGCCGTCTGCGCCTTCATGTTGTCTACGGGGAGCAAGTAGTGACCTGAGTCCGTCAGGAGGCCCTAGACACGGCGGGAAGCTTATTGCGAGGGACAAGGGCCAGAATTCCATCGCCATTGTCGTACATATGCTCGAACAGGATGCACTTCTGTTTGGACATTGTGCTATTCGGAAGAAGTCCAGGGCATCTCGAGCCAGGTCCACCGATGAGATCTGATCGATCTGTAGCGCCTCTTTCCATTCCTTCTACCAGAATAGGTCCTAGAAGGCTGCCACGCGAGGGATCTGGTTGTCCATTGATACCTGTAAATGATGCTTTTGTTGGTTTCAGCTGATAAGAGAGACCACGCTTGTCGTAAATATTTCTCTTCCACTCAAGTAGTGTCTCCGTGCCGAGAAGTCCTTCTGCCGCTCCAGGATCAATGAGAAGTCCATGCTGAGGACGTCCTTTGGTTGAGTGTAGTACCAGATATGGATCATCCACTGATTCGTTCTGCTTGTATGTCTGTGGATATAAATACATATTTCCACTCGAGCTTGCTATCCGGCAATCGGATGACAGCCATGCCGAACGTGAGTCTGGTGAAGGCCAATCCGTGTGACTGAAAACCTCACCAGATGAACGGCTGGCCTGGTCCTGCGTGGCGACATCTGGCTCCTGGCGTCCATCGCTCCAACCATTGAACATCGCAACCAGGGCGTACTGTTTTGCCAGCTTCTGAGCCAGTGTGAGCGTCGGTTGGTCCACACCTCTGCTGCTTGCTGCTCCCGATGATAGTGCATCTCTCAGAGGTGTCCGCGTTCTGGCTGTCGATGCTGGCGATGAGAATAAAGGTTCAGGTCGAAGAGCGGGTCGTGCCGGAGATACTGCCTGTGGAAGTTCCATGTCTGGTGTCTCTGGGCTGTCCATCTGATCCAATTGATAGTATTCTGTCTCTCGTGTCATTGGGATCGCACTTGCTGTAGAGCCAACTTGTTCAGGAGATTCTGGTCTCAAATCGATCCATGATCCAGGAGGTCGTGTCATCATTGTTGGAGGTGCCGCTGATGAAGCCGTCGAGAAGGCAGTGACATTTGCATAGTGACGCGCCTTGCCTCCGAATTATTTGCCTTGTCCTTTGCCTTTCTGCTGCTTACCTTGACCGTGCTGATTGTGCTGAGGCTGCCCATGACTTTGACCTTGTGCTGGACAAGACGATGCTGTATGCCATTTGCTTCCACATATAGTACAGCCTTCAGCTTTCTGACCATTTCCTCCGAAACGATCGTTGGGACCGCCGCCGCGACCTTTCTACCGTTTCCAGAACTACCTTTGCTTTTGTCCTTGCTGAACTTCTGGCGGTCGCCCTTGCCTTTGGTTTTACCTATGCGGCGGCCTCGTCCTTTTCCTTTGCTGTAGTAAGTCTCCTGTGATTCTTCGTCTCCGTAATAATACTCTGTCAGGTTGCCGTCACCGTCGTACTTGGCCCAGACATCTTCATATTCTTGAAAGTACCATTCTCCGTCATAGGTGGCCGTCCAACCGTAGTCCTGATCGTAGCCCCACTCGTACATATCGTCGTAGTAGGCCTCATACCAGTCGCCCTCGTCATCCTCATCTCCGTCATTGTACCAGGCCCACTCATGATGCGAATTCACCTGGTCCTGCTTTCCGAGGCGCATCATGAGCTGCATCAGAGTACGATATTGATTCAAATCTCCTGCCACGTGAAGCTTAAGATCGTCTAACCTTTTGTCCTGCATTCCGCAGTTCTTGAGAAGAAAATGTGGCTTGCCGACGTCGTGCATGACCAGGCCTCCTTCTTCACACGCATCCTCGTAGGCCAATTCGAAAGATGCAATCCATGTCGGAATATCTGTGTGTGTTCCACGTCGGCAATCGAAGAAACCATCCATCCAAAACAACTCCAACTCTATCTTGATCGTGCAGCTCATAGATCGCCTTCTGCTGATTCAGGAAGATCTTGATGCCTGGCAGCTGAGCCTCGACGCCTGCTGCTGGGTCCTCTGGCACAGGAGGAAGTGCCACTGCTTCATCACCGCGATAGTGGATGCCATCTTTGATGATCGTGAACGACATGGCTGCGGTGAAGGGGGTCCCCT